AGCTCACTCACTAGGCTCTTGCCATTTTGATGCTGGACTGTCAGGAGTGCTGGACTATTGGAGTTTTACTGTACATTGGCAGCTGTTAAAAATATTAAGCTATTATGAGTTTAATCAGATCTTTCCTATTTATTTTTTATAGTAGCCCATTATGGAACTTGAAGTTATCTGACTGCAGTATGAAAATAGCTAGAACCAGAAAATTGTGACAACTAAACGTAATATCAACTTCTGTAGATTTTGATATGAGATTACATCTAAAAATACTATTCCAAATGTGTGTGGTTATTCCCCAAATCAGCTTTAACACTGGAATTTTTTATATTCTTTATTTAGTAATCCTAAGATACTTATAAAATGGAATAGAACTAAAATTAGAATAGTGCTTTCCAGGCTGTTAGAAAATTTACGGTAATATTTCTAACTGAAAATGGTGTTGTGCCATACATAGCCACTTACACATTATCACAGGGATTTAAAGTGCTAGAAGTACAAGGAGTAATTAAGTAGTGTATGCTCATGCAGGGATGTCTAATATGCACTAACCTGCTCCTTTTTTCCTTTCTCTGTAAGTGTCGGCAACATTAAAGCTATATAGCTTGAAGCAGTTTTATCACTCTGTAATGATGCTTTCTATTTGCATGGCCATATACCACAAGCAGGGCCTTCTGAAGCTAGGGAATGCTTGCTATGCAGTTCCAGTTTCATTCACTGGGACATCACGCCTTTAACCAGTCAAGATTGGTGAGCTAACAAGTGAGAGGGACCTCCTGTTGTCTATAGCCTTTTTTTTCCTCTAAACTTCGCAGCTTCCAGAAGTACCGATTATTACAAAAAAGAAGCACAGCACTTACGCTTCAGCCTGTGGGGACTAGAAATCAGATTGCTTGCTAGATAAGTCTTAAGCTTTAGAAGGCTTTTAATGAGAGTACATTTTATAATACAAATTATAGCTATCACATTGCTGTGAAATAGTGACATAGGACCACGTTGTACAAATCTCCAAGAAACAAAAAGCTAGACACTTTCACTCAACAATAGTATACTCTTGAAGCTAAATAAATCCCTTCGTGCTATTACAGCACATTTTGCATATCTTATGTTAGTCTGATTTGTTTTTACTAGTAATACCATTTTAAATTACATGTAGGTCCAACTGTTCAAAAGCATTCTTAAACACTTTATTTTTGTGGACTTAAGTTTTTGCAACATGCTAAAATTGGATCTAGTGTTCATATCAAGTCTGGCATTTTAAGTACTGTAGTCAGTTTCTGCATGAAAATGTTTCCTTGGGCACATGTGAAATAGTTGCACACATTTAGCTGGCCTCTATAAGTACATCTAATTGTTGAGCATAAATAAAAATATAGTTTAACAATGGCTTTAATTTTTGTAATTTTAGTAACTTTCTATTTCAGCATTTGGAAAAACACCACCTTTGTAAGCAACTTTATTAGGCTAGTCATAAGTACATTTAAGCAAATGCCAAGTAATTGTATCCTAATCTATTACAGTATTTGTGTATTTTTTAAAGTAATTGAATGGAAAGAAAACAAATGGCACACTACACAGAGTAACTAATTGGTAGGGAATTGGTTGTAGGATGTGCGTGTTTGTGTTATTTAAAGAATCTCATACATTCTATTTTTAGTGTGTTATATAGAATAAGATACTTTCTTAAGGCTGGGTGCCCCCTTCAATTCTGTACCTCTCTTTGGGTACGTCTACACTACAGCGCTAATTTGAGTTAACTTAATTTGAAATAGTTCATTCGAATTAACGCATCTACACACAAAACCTATTTCGAAATAGCGCCCCCACACTGAGTGGACTCTGAACCAAAGTTAAGGCTGGCTGGAACCAGTGCCGGCAGGGCATCAGGTTAGGACTTAGTGTGTGGGGCTGCTGCCTGAGGCTAACTGAGCTCCGTGCTTGAAGGGACCCTACCACTACCCTGGACAGACAGTTCTCAGGGTTCCCCGCTTGCTTGTCTACCTCAATGAGGGACAGCAAAGCACTCCTGTCTTGGAGTGCCCTGAGTACCCACACTCGGGACAACACAGCATTTGGCCACATGGAGCCAGAGCTGCCCCGGCACACTGGTGCATCTCGTGGGGTCGTTGCCATCAGCCCGGCTGCACTTGCTGCAGGCTGCCATCCGGGGGGCCCATCGGGGGGCTGTCAGGATCCCGGAGGCCCTGCGGGAGAATGTCCACTTCGAAGAGACCAAAGAGCCACCCTGGTCCTCCCCACCGGAGGCTCGTGCCCCATTCCTCCCTCATGTCCTTCCACTTACTCCTCCCTAGCCCCCCTTCCTGATGTCAAACAAAAGACGTATGTTCAAAAATAGAAACTGGGTTTATTGAACAAAATGGGGGGGGGGAGGAGCCTCTGGGGAGACTGGGAAAAGGAGATGGGAGAGGGGAAGAGAGAGGGTGGGAGAGGGGAGTGAGAAACGTGGGAGGAGGGAGCTGGAAGGGGGAAGCAAGGGGAGGGGAAGCTCAGGGCCCAGGGCCAGGGGTCTGGCCAGACCAACTTGATTTTCATGCAAACCTGCTCCTAGATTCGCATGTGGCCTTTGGTGGCCAGGCTGGCAGCTATCCTGCCATAGATGGCCGAGTTCCTCGTCTAGGGTGGAGATCATGGACATTGGGGGCATTCCCCCCCAAACCTGAATAAGGTCCATGATTTCCACTGCTGGCTCTGGGCTGGCAAGCTTGGACCTGCAACAGGCACTGTGGCCAAAGTCTACCCCTTTAATGGCTCCGGGGCTGGAGGAGAGGAGAGTAAGTTTTCCTGGTTGTGCCCAGAATGGCCATACCTTTTCAGAGTTGTCTACTGTGTTATCTTCTCTATGAAACACTCCGAGTGTGATTTGATTTGGGATTTGAGGATAGGAAGCAGAGCCGTACATCAACTATTCACCTTGGCATTATACCCTCCTGACTGGGAATTTCAAAGAAGAAATTATCAGGAATCAATGTTGCTAAAGGCTACTACACATAAAGCTAGTAATAGCTAGGCTCCTTTCAACTCTGCTGCTGTAGGGGAGAAGAATCAGCAGGGCAGCATATTTTTTCTCGGGAACTAGTGGTGTCTTTTTTTGTGTGGCCCAAGAGTAGTGGGAGACTATGCCTGTTGTATGCTCCCAGGTCCCCTAGGTAGGACCTCTCACCCAAGAGGAGAATTACTTGGAAACTCCCTGGTGTAAACCTCACCTCAATATTTGCCTAGGGCTCTTTCACAAGAGGAAATGATCCAGCCAATGGTATTTAATTGGTTTAGTAATTACTGTCATTACTGCACTAGACTGTAGTAATTATTATGCTTAGCAAATGTTGGAAGCCCTAGTCCTACAAAAATCCCAACATTAACAGTCCTAACTTTTATTTAACAATACTAACAGAGTCATTGATTTAGCGTTTTTAACATACACAAGCTATTTCACCACAAAAACATTGACTTATCAGTCTGAAAGGTAAAGAGGAGTTTTAAATGGGATTTGTCGCAGAATACACAGCTTCAGAAATTGGTTGGGGGTATTAGCAACATCGCTGTATATGAGTCTGTTAATGTGTTATACAGTATGAAGGAAAGAGTCTAATTAAAATCTTGTTGCTAAACAAGTGTCAAAGACCTCACAAACAGCTTGAGGCTCCAGGCTAGCCATTGTTAGGCTTGAAGATCAGACTCGGTCAGTGAATGAGAAATGTTTTATAATGTGGCTTAGTTTGTTCATAACACACGAGTATCATTTAGATGTTGCATAATATCTGCACAAGTATATCTACGGTGCCTTTGACCCAATTAAAGTATTAGTGTGGGTACTAAAGGGCTTTTGCTATCATTCAGGATGAGTTTTTTGTGAGATCTGTGTTTGGCAGATTATCTCCCAGGATTCAAGAACTCAGCTATAAGAGCACCTTTGCCAAGCAGCAGATAGTGCTCTCAAGATGTGCCATCTGGAATACACAATCCTCACACTTCCAGCAGCAAAAATTAGGTGCAGTCATTGAAATAAATGGCCATAAACTGGTGTGTGACTGAGTTGAGAGGCAAATCAGGCCGCATCATCCACATCAGAAGTAAAGATTAAGTAGCGTGTGTCTACATTTCACACTAAGCACAGACCCTAATTCAGGTTTCAATCCAGCTAATCTAGGTCCAACCCATACCAGATTGACTCTGGTCAGCAAGCACTCAGGACTCAGATTCTAGGATGCTGCTTGGGGCGAGGGGGATGAGAGCTTGCACTGTACTCCCCTGTCATTTTGTATTGCAGACACAGTTCACATGACAGTCAGAAGGTCAGTATATTGCACTATGGGCATGTTAGCACTGCTATGAAACCCAGGTCCAGGAATTATAAATCCAGTGTGGATGCTCAAAGATAGGTTTGGAAACAGAGTCCAAAAGCCTTTGCCTCATAGACCAAAGTGTGCAGTGTGGCACAGACGTACAGTATGGCAGTGTTTCTTAAACTGTATTCCACGGCACACCAGTGTGCCATGAGGCAGTTGGAGGTGTACTGTGGAGAACAGTTCAAAATGACTGCCCTTAAAGGGCCAGGCGAACCTCTCTCAACTCCCAGACTTTTTTTTTTTTCCCTTTGCTCAACAAAAAAATCCTTGATATTCCTCAAAAAAAAAAAATTGTTTGGTGTTCCTCGGTCTTAAAGTTTAAGACACTGGGCTATAGGTTTGCCACAGCTTAAAGAATAATAATCTTCTGATAGCTGAGCATCTTAACACTGGATGTTAGACTAAGATAAGTGAGAAGTCAGATTCCAGTTGTCTTTAAAAAAATAAAATAAATACATTAAGTTCATCACCAATCTAAGTCTAATGCTTGGATATACTGAGGTAACAAAAGTTCCAAGCTTGCCATAATGTCGGAAACAGATCAGCGAGGAGTCAGCCTGTAAAAATAGTGTATTGTACTTGTGTTAATGTGGATCCATAATACAAAAATCTAAACTCTCAATTTTTTTTTTATTTCAGAATTTACTAAATGCTGCCAAGACACTGGCTTTCTTATGGTGGTGAAGTGCCGACAGGAGAATGCAGCATTGAAAGAATGTCTAACTGCCTAGTAAGTCAGATGACTTAAAAAATAGAATTTATGATGTATTTTCAAGGTGGTCTCTAAAAGGTACCATGCATCTTCAGATGATTCCAAAAGCAAATGTAGATGCTGACCTCTTCAGGCAAGTTTGCAATGTGTCATGATTTGGTCCTTTGAGTACTGAATCTAGGGTGGTATATTTTCTCAAGGAAAGCAGTTATATCTTCAGGGAAAACAAGACATCTTGGACTTTTACGCAAGAATTAAAAAAAAAATTCTCATGGTTGAGATCATTGTTTAAGGCAAAGTGCTGGTGGATACCAATATTCTATCATGGTGCCAGAGGCCGCACTGAGCTCTTTTTTGCAGCTCTTGCTTGTTCAGTGAATATGATCAAAGACTATGGACTTTTTTTTGTCTCTCTTGTACTCTATTAGGTGTCAGTACCTACAGCTGGGTTATTTAGAGGATTAATTACGTAACGTGAGGGTTGAAACAGAGGGAAAAATACATTAATGCCTTTACAAAAAACCATAGCAATGACTCAGTTATTTAGAACAGACAGAGCTGTTTTAAACAACTTTTAAGTTAGATATGCGTTGCCAGGCACACATTAACAGCTCTGTCTATGCAACAAACACTTGCATTACAGTAAATGTTAATTTGAAATATTAATTGTGGATTCTCTATAAACTAACCCTTGTCAATTGCCTTCTGGGTGGGTGGGTGGGTGGGTGGGTGGGTGTGTGTATATATAAAAGCAAGCACCTCATTTCCTTGGGCCACTATAGCAGACTATCTGGAACTCAGATCTGAATATTGGGTATAGCAGATGTGCTACACCAGGAACCATTATAGAACAAATGTGAAGTTGAGAGGTGTATTCCTGACATTAAGGTTAATTTAAAAAATAAGTTAAATCTTCATTCATGACTTGTTTGTACAGGACCAAACACACTGTGCTCGTCTCCCTAATGGAGAGAATTTGATTACTTAGGGCTTTTCTACATAATGGGGTTATACATGCAGTAGGAACGTGATTTCTAAAGCATACTGAAGTGTTTTTGAGCTTTAATGTGCTTAGCACAGTGTTATTTCAAATAATACCTCATCAGCTGGATCTACACAGACCAACTGATGTGTAATTTAGAAGACAGACCCCCCCAGTGGCCAAGCCCTAAATTGAGAAAAGGGCACAACACATGAATTCCTGTAGATTCTAAGAACTTGCTGACATGGGGAAATAGCCCCTGGTAGTTGTACTGTATTAGATACTTTTAGGGCAAAGTAAGTATGGAGCTTACTGCATTTTAGCTTAATCCACTTCCAAAACTAAAGCACACTAGGGCCAGGCCTACACGAAAGGGCAAGGTCAAATCAAGATATACAACTCCAGCTACATTAATTACATAACTGGAGTTGACATACCTTGATTTGAGTTTCTCTGCTGTCCCCAGTGGGAGGTGTGCCCACAGGAGCACTGGCAGCCAACAGGGTGCCCACTGAGTTTGATTTGGCAGGTCTTAACTAGATTTTTTGCTTAGTGAAGATAATACCTTAGTGTCTTTGTGTGAAACAGCTATCCCCTAGTGCAAAAAAGCTCTTGCAGACTCTAGTGCCGTGTGTCTAACACGCTAGCCACATGTGACTATTTGGCCAGTTGAGTGTAGCTAGTTCACTATAGTAGTAGCCACTATAGTGGCTCTAGTGCAAAATAAGTTAACTTCCCTGTACGGAGAAGCCCTAACCCCACCTCCCCCCCATCTCCAGTGAGATGAACTGAATTGTACAGGGTTGCCCCTCCCTGGGCCAGCATCCTTGGGACAGGTCAGGTAATTTGCCAGACCAAGGGAGGTTCCCTACCACCACTGCCCTTCAACACTAGGGCTCTGTTTCTGCCCCAGCTAGCCACCTTACTTCCAGCCCCTGTTACTGTTGGGCCTGGACTTCAGCTGGGCTGCTGGCCCCACTGTCCTAAACTGGACTGCCACACTGTAGGGTCCAGCCCCCAGCCTCACTGGTGGACGATGGCCCTCCTGCCACTAGGTTCCCTGGGCTCTCTTGTGAAGGAACATCCGTGGTCCTTCTGGACCACAGATGTTGAAAGACCAGAGTGTCCATTTTGGAAAATGCAACCTGTAGTTCAAACAATTTTAACCTAATCACGACATATTTAACAACATTAGGTTTTATATAAGAACTACAAATCTGAACTTATGAGTAATAAGCTATTTTTGCTCACTCTTATTTGCAAATATTATTCTATGGAAAACAAGTTAGAAAAGTGGTTTAATTTTAAGATAAACATATGTAAACCGAGAAAATACTAGTTGGTATCCAGGAAAAAAAAAGGAATGGTTAGTGAGTTTGTGATATCAGAAATACTTTTTTGGGTTTGCCCTTCAGCCACAATGGCATAGTTCAAGTCTGAAAACAACATACTCTCCAGCAGCAGGCAGTGTTGGGGAGGAGAGATATGAAAATTTAAAGCTAGTCCCTAATGGAAACAGGCAAATTCAAAATCAACTTGCGTATGAACATTTATTAATGATGCAGGTAGCATCTCAGATCCACAAATGTTAATAACTTCTTTGATTTAAGGTACGAGTCACAATATTTGGGTTTTTTTTGTAGCTATAATGATCCAGCATTTTATGAAGAATGCAAAACTGAATACTTGAAGCAAAGGGAAGAATTCAGAGCTACTGGAATTCCTGATAAACGAAGACAACAGAAGCTTCCTACAAGCATGTAGCTAAATCCTAAAATGAAGTTTGGAATTTTCTTTCAGTTAGACACATACTTTGATTTTGTGGAATAAGATTAGACTCAATTTTTTAAAAAATCATTGTTTGTCTTTCAGGCTGGATTTGAATGAAATAAGATGCATCTTATATTGTACTTTGTCTATTAAGAATAAATTTTCTATGAATTAATTGAAAATAAACTAGGATGTATTTTTAATCTGCTCAATTCCAAGTGTTTGAGGAACTCTGTGTAGCATATTTTGAGAAAAAAGCCAAGAGCCGTCTATTCTTACTGAACATTTTGATTTGCCCTTCCTCTACTAATATTCCCCTCTATAATCCAAGGAAGATATTTTGCTTCTTTTTATGGTAATGAACAGGTAATGAATTTCAGCCACTGTCTGGATAAAAGAACAATTTAAGGTGTACCTTTATCACTTAGCACAGCTGCATACAAAAACACACTGTGGCTTCATTAACCCATTAGACTTGAAAAAATACTGTTCTTATCTTGGGAAAAGTGTGATATAACTCACAGTTGTAGAAATAATCATTAAAAGGAGTATATAATAACTAAAGATGTTAAGCCTGCACAGAGCTCTGAAAACTTTCTGCTCCTAAGAGCATTCTCTCTAACTCCATTATAGTCTCTTTTGCCCAGTTCTATATCTAGGACTGCTGCCCCATTACACATGAGCCCTTTAGACTTATCCCTTCTCAGGAAGCTCACATCTTAAGGAAATCTCTTTCAAAGAGGGTCAGAATGCAGCTGAAACATTGGCAAAAGCATCATTTAAGGAAAAGGTGTTCTCTCTCCATGCAAGGTTTCATTGTAGTGAAAGCTGGATTGTGAGAACAGACTTATGGGAAAGAGGGGAAAACAAACAGGAACATACTAGGATAAAGAAGTCTCCAGAAGAGAGAGAAAAGCATAAATTCTAACCATCACTTAAAGAAAAAGCAGTCAATGCCTCTAAACAGAATAATCCTTAGAGATAAGAGGGTTGGACTCAAATAGTTGCATGTGCAAAATTGTGGTAAGTAAGTAGTCAACCAACAGGCATATAAGAAACTAAGCTCCAGGTACTACAAGGGGTTATTAATAAATCAAGGAAATAAGCTGATGGACAAAGCCAGAATTGTTTCTAGATACCTAATTTAGCACTTTGCTTACTGTTTGAAAGAAGCTGTTTCTCTAAAGTGCCATCATCCACCTCGGTTACTGCATCTGAAAAATTTAAGAGGGGGGAAAAACCTATACAGGTGTTATTGATTTTTTATTTATATGTTGCCTGTTCAATTCCTTTTATCACCACAAAATATGGGTTGCTCCTGACTTGAAATGGAAACTCTGGTGTCCTAGACATTTGGAAAATGTTCACAACACATTATAGGTAAAACTTACAGTCTTGTCTATCTGAAGTCTGCCTGTTTCTTGAATAATCAAGGACACTGCCTTTTGCTTTAGTGGCTTTTAGACTACTGCACTCAAAAGAGCGTAGGTGGACCCTAATGAACTGGGAAGCCTGAGAACATGTAGCTAGACTGGCAGTGCCACCTATTAAGAGTTGCCGATCAGTTTTTATTTTAAACACTATTTTCAGTTGCCAGGTTAATTATATGTGAAGGTTTTCTACATTCGCTATCTGCCTTGGGCAGATCTTTTGGGGAAGCTTCAGCAAAAGAAGAAGCTGTTTTTCAGGATAGGGAAAAGTTTTATCGAGTGTTAATTCCAACCATTTCTTCAGAGAAAAACACTGAAGTTTGCAGTGGCATGGCCTTGAGAACAGATTGTATTTACTGTTCCTCAGAAAATTCTGAAGGTCCCTATTTGCACATGGTTGGAAGAGCTCTTTAGTGGCTTGCTCTAAGTCTCCAGCAAGGACTAGTTTAATCGTTCTTTTTAAGGCCTGTGGGACTTAGCCTCAACAGTCATCACATGCATAGACCTCCTACCAACCAGGTGCCCTGGACCTGCTCCCAGCCCACACTATCTCCTGCCTAGAAGGCACAGCACTGGAACTTCAGAGGACTAACACACCCATAGCACAATTTTCCTGTAGCTTAGTTAGAAAGACAGTCCAAGGAGAAAGTCAAAAGATCATCTTCCGTTCACTAGTTTTAATTCTGTGCACTTCATAGCTCTGCACCAAGCCTTTCCGCCCCTTCATGTACCACTCTATTTTATAGATCTAGTACTTGAGCAGTTGTATAAAGTCACAGCTGCCAGAGCTAGCATTTGCAGGATCTCCAAGCTGGCTGGCCCAAATCTTAATTTGACAGCACTGACATTCATTACACCCTCCTCTTTTGCCAGTCTTTATACACAGAACATGACCTTCATTCAGTGCTTAGGCTGGGATGCCAGCTGGGTTCTTTTCCTTTGCAATGCACATGCAATGGTAGCTTGGCATTTGCTAAGTTCTTCTTTAAGAAGTGTCCCGGTGGGATCTCCACTATAGGGCTATGCCTGCACTGGCATGATTTTGCACAAATACTTTTAACACAAGAGTTTTTGCGTCAAAGTATTTGCACAAGAGAGCATCTACACTGGCATGTGCTTTTGCGCAAAAGCATCCATGCTAGTGTAGATACCCTCTTGCGCAAGAAAGCTCCAATGGCCATTTTAGCTATCGGGCTTTCTTGGGCAATAAATTAACGTTGCCTGTCTACACTGGCCTCTTGCGCAAGAACAGTTGCGCAAGAGGACTTATCCCTGCGCGGGAGCATCAGAGCATTTGTGCAAGAAGCACTGATTTTATACATTAGAACAGTGGTCCCCAATGCAGTACCCGCGGGCGCCATGGCGCCCACTGGGCCATTTCTGTGCGTCCGCCAAGTGATCAGGGCCAGCCCTGCTCCCAGGCGCATGGCACATGAGCAGCCCCACCCCCAGGCTTGTGGTGTATGGGCATCCCCGCCCCTGGGCACACGGCACAGGAGCGGTGCCAACCCCAGGCACGTGGCATATAGTCATCCCCACCCCTGGGCACGCAGCACAGGAATGGAAGAGGCTTGATATCCTAGACAGAAAAATCACATTCCTCTGCCTCCCTGCTCATCAGGATAGCTAATTATGAGGCGCTGTGAGCAAAGTATACATATCACCATTTTGAGAACATGAAAAATTTTATTGAATGGCTACCCGATGATAATAAGGCTTCCTTCCAGTCTAACATAGAGGAGGCTTCCTTATAGCTAAGAATGCTCTGCAAGCATCCCTCGAAGTAGCTGATATTGCAGCATGATCCTTACTTATGTCGGTAGTCATGCAGAGTGTCTCAGGATTCCCTAGGGAGGTACAGAATACTGTTGAGGATCTCCCATTTGAAGGACAAAAGCTTCCCCCCCTCCCCCCCCAATGACCACAGATGCCTCACTACATTTGCTCAAGGACTCACAAGCAACCCTAAACACCCTGGGCATGTATGTTTCCCAACCCAGAAGGAAACTAAATAGACAATTCACACCTCGGGGTAGAGCATCCTCATTGTAGCTTCTCTGGGATGTGTACAATCTAGGAAGGAGGCAGAGGTAACAAAAACAGACAAACACAGGAACAACCTACCATGTCCCAGTCCACCAATGGGCAACAAACTTTTTGAACGTCTGGCCAAGGGTTCAATATCATTTATAACAAATGCTTGATACCAATTCATTCTGCAGCCCTTTTACCATGCATGGACCCAGATTACCACAGACAATTGGGCTTCAGAAGTCATACCAAAAGGCCTCGCAATACCATTCACCACATTTGCTCCAGCCCTTGTGTTCAGGGACCCTTCTCACAAGTTCCTGCTACAACAGGAGAGAAACAGATTACTCCATATGGGAGCAAAAGAGAATGTTACTCAAGATACTTCCTCACGCCAAAAAAGGAAAATCAGGAGGCTGGAGACCCATCCTGGACTTATGCAGACTGAACAAATATCTAAAAGCAAAGATTCACTATGGTAACTCTAGCAAAGATAATTCCATTCCTCAAACAGGGAACAGGAAGGAGGCAGATATTTTCACATATCAAGTATCATATCACACAGACAATTTCTAAGACTTACTCTAAAGGATCAACATTTTCAGGGCTGGATCCTCCCATTTGGCCTATCCTCCACACCCAGAGGGTTTTTTTCCCCCCAAAATACTGACTCTGGCAATAGCTCATCTCAGAAAGCAGGACACAATAATATTCCCTGGATGACGATCTAATTATGGCACATTCAGACCATGAAGCCATCCAATTCACTGCAGAGACAGTTCATCTATTCACATCTGTAGGTCTCCAGATAAGTGCACAAATATTATACCTCTCGCCATCCCAGACGCTGGAGTTCATAGGAGCTGCACTGGATTGCACAAATGCATAGGCACGACTACCATTATAGAAGTTCCAAACACTGTCTACGCTAACAAACTATTATAGACAGCCCCACAGTATGGGCCAGACAGTGCCTTCAGCTTCTAAGCCACATGTCAGCAACCACATACGTGGTTCCCCACACCAGGCTACACGAGATATCTCCAGCCATGGTTTCATGCATGCTTTTGACCTCACGAGCACCATATGCAGAAAATGCTCAGCCTCACAAGGAGGGTCAGAGTCACTTCTGTGGTGGCTTTCCAACAGATGCCCCCATCCATAAGCATAACCATGGATGCTTCAGTAGAAGGCTGGGGTATGCACACCAACAAGCACACACCCAGGGAAGATGGACGCCGACAGTCAGCCCTGCACATCAACATTTTCGAACTTCTCACAGTGCAAAGAGCATGTGAGCACTCTCTACCATTGATCCACAGCAACTCTGTAAGGATACTCACAGATAACACCGCCTGCATGTTTTACATAAATCGTCAAGGAGGGCAAGATCACATCCCCACTGCAGAGAGGCAGCAACACTGTGGCACTGGTGCATTCACCACATTACCCTCCCAGCAGGGTATCCAAACAAGCAACCAAAACATAACTGCAGACCATCTAAGCCGCACAGTTCATCAGAAATACAAATGGGGATGCATTCTCGAGCCCTAGATTTCGTCTTCCTCAAGTGGGGTTTTGTGGAAATAGACTTATTTGCCATTACACAATACCTCAGGGCAAGGCTGGGCAAGGACTCCATGGAGGATGCTATGTTGATCAGCTGGTCTCATGATCTCCTATATGCCTCTTCACCACTTCCCTTTCTCGGCAAGGCCATA